AGTGTACAAAATTCTACTTGTCAGATTAGCGAGTTTGGGGGATCTAAAGTCCATTATGGTGATTATAGCTAATAATACTGTATTATGTATCTGACTGTTTCTAGGAGCATCTATCTTAAATATCCTCACCACAAAAAAAGAAATGGAAACTATCTGACCAATTACTCGTTAGCAAAAACTCAAGGCAAAGAGGGTAGACTATAAACAACACCTTTACAAATCTGAAGAAAATGGGCTGAGACCTAATGATAAAGACAGAGTCTAACTTATACATATACAAGTGAACAAATCTGTGTAGCAAGTTTACAACAGAGCAAAGGGCATGGAAATCCTCCCGGAGTACCTCTTTGGTTCAACGAAATTCATTCTGTTGTGACCATCTGTCTACTCTCTCATCTCTTCTGGTCTTTCTTTATCTTATTTTCTTCTTCCTTCCCTGCTCCTCTCCCCCACTCTCAAAGAAAAGGTGTATATGCATTTACATCTGGAAATCCAGATTTAGCTTGTTACTATGTCTCAGACTAGACTGTGAACAGTAATGTTTTATGTGTTGATAGAGAGAAATCTGGACTCAGCTGGTGTATTGATAAAGTCCAATTTTCAGTTAGGATTTTTTAAAAAAAACAATTTTCATTGGACAATCATAGAAGCAAAGACCTCAAAAAATGATAGCTATTTTTATAATACATGAACTAGAAATATGACCAAATATGGAAATTTCTATTTTATTTGGGAACTGCTGTGTCAAGTTTTTCTTAGTTATAAAAATAGTCTAGTATAGTCTAGTATATTTGTGCTAGATGTGAACTTTTTTCTGGAAATGATAATGCCTTAATCTGTGAAAAAGAGAAATATATGTGATTTATTACAAAGATGTTTAGTTTTCATTTCATTACATTATGTTCTGTGAACATTTATATCTAGTCTTTAATTAAACATGATTTATTCAAATTGAGATCTGTTTCCACTTAGATTGCTTGCAGTGTTAATCACAGTGCAAATAGCCTTTGCCACTGAAAGAATCCCTATATTATACTAATGTATAACTGCTTCTGTGTAATTTGCATCTGTTCTCTGAGCCTGTATGTTACCAAATATGTACAAATGTAGAAATGTGTTACTTATCTTGCTACTATATTAAAGAACATAACTTACTTAATATGACATTTATGTTTTTATGAATTTAGATTTAAGGTAGTTCTTTAAATTTAAAGAAAAATTTAAAAATACCCAAATAATAAAAGGCCCCTTTGTATCACAAATGGAATATGACTAGAAAGCATTTTCACTTCAGCTATGCAGTTCCAGTTTATCTTGCCTATGTTCACGTATGTAACAGTTTGTGTTCGTTTGCTTTTTTAGAATCAGATGTTCTTACTTATAATTTCCTTTGTTGGCCATTATAGATCTGTCCTGAAGAATAGGCCGAAGGTTTAAAAATTGATTAGATTCATATTAACATGTGTAAATACAATGTATTGTGTAAAGTCTTAGAAGATGCAAGGAAACTATGAGCAAGAGTGCCTGCATATTCCTAATGTATGTGTCTTAACTCTTGATTGTTCTCATGTCATGCACTGTAAAAACTTCCTTCTATTAACATATCAAAGTACCAGAAGCTGGGTTTTATTTTACTTATGATTCAACTCAATCTTAAAATGAGAAAATGCTTAGAGCCTCTTACTTGAGAATTAAAATATATCTCATGCCCTGGTAAGTTGGTTGGAGCACTGTCCCATATACCAACGGATTGTGGGTTCAGTTCCCTGCCAAGGCACATACCTAGGTTGTGGGTTTGATCCCTGCTTCAGGTGTATGGGAGGCAACTGATCAATGTTTCTCCCTGACAACATCTCTCTCTCTCTTTCTATTTCTCTCTCTCTAAAAATAATGGGGAGAAAAATAACATATCCTTGAGTGAATATTAAAACATATATATATATATATATACATATATATATATATATGGGTTTCCCCCAAAACTGCACACACTTTGAATAATTATAAAGGCAGTGTTCATTAAAATACATTTCATGTTCAGAATTCAGCTATCAGCTGAATTTTGGGGAAAATTTTATACACACACACACACACTAGTGGCCTGGTGCACAAAATTCTGCACATTAAAAGGGAATTAATTAGAGAAAATATTTTAATATTGCTAATTATGTCCCCCTGGGGCTCTGGGTGGGAAGGCAGCCTCATATCCCTGGCCAAGTGCTGGGTTGGGAGGCAGCCTCACATCCCAGGCCGGCACAAGTCCCCACCCACTGACGCTGCAAGTCCCTGCCCACCTGCACCTGCTTTGCACAAAGCCTCCTGCTGTTGGGTCGTTACGGTGTCATGGCGTGATGGCCATTTGCATATCAGCCTTTTATTATTATGATATGTATATATATATATATATTCTATTAACATCAAACCTTGTGTAGGTCTCCATCCTGCCTTCCTTTACTCATTTCTTAAGCCCATGCCACATATGATTTAACTAGGTCTTTCTAAAGCACACGGGTGCAGAGAGTACCCTCCATCTGTTCCCAGGTCTTCAATGCCATGAGATAAAAGCAGCTCCCTCAGCTAGCAGTCAAGGTTCTTCATAATCTGCTCCCTGTCTGCATCCTCAGATGTGGTCACCAGCACTCCTCTTCCATTCTCTGCTCCAGGCAGACTGGCTATTCCTGTACCTGAACACGGCATCACACCGTGGACATTTCTCTTCAAAGTGGTGACTCATCCAGCTCAGAAATACACCACCGTCTTCATCCTGCCCTTAGTAATCCCAAGTAAAACTTTCAAGTCCAAAATGAAGTTATATTTCCTTTATGAGATCCTCAAATATCAATACTTAATTTCTCCTATATCAGTATATAAAAGAATCACATGTATAATTTTAAAAATAAGTCAATGCACTCTTTAAGACATGAAAGTTTAATTTAGCCGTGAACATATTCTCATCTAAAACAAATTTTAGCACATATGATCAAGCACAGATATATCAGGCATGTTCCAAAGTTGCCAAACATCATCTTACTTTACACTGAGCTTGCAAAAAAATAGATAGCACAGAGACTCCTGTGCACTTTCAAAATTTAATGAAAATAATTTGCATTAGTTTAATATAAAGACCAAGTGAAATGTTGATATGACTAAAAAGAGCTAACTATTATATCAGATAAGAAAACAGCGGAACCGGTTTGGCTCAGTGGATAGAGCGTCGGCCTGCGTCAAGGGCATGTACCCTGGTTGTGGGCACATCCCCAGTGGAGGGCGTGCAGGAGGCAGCTGATCGATCTTTCTCATTGATGTTTCTAACTCTCTATCCCTCTCCCTTCTTTTCTGTAAACAATCAATAAAATATATTTTTTAAAAAATAAGAAAACAAATGACTCTTTCCTTTCTTTCTTTATTTCTGGAGAATTTTAGTGTTAAATATCTAGAAGTCTATTGTATTTTACGATAGCACACAGCTATTTTTCGAGACTATCAGATTCTGGTTTTATTTTATTATTTGAGTATATAAAATACTTAAATTATTTTGAATTTTTCTGAACACAATCATGCATTGGTTTTCCTCTTAAGCTGTAACAGTCAACCAGAAACCAAAAATGATGCTTTTTCAGAGTCAGTCATCACCTGCCTAGGGAAATTTAGACCAACATTTGTACAGTAAACTTATAATGAGAGGTGGACAACTTTGCTTCCAGGAGGAAATACTATTTAGGAGAAAAAGATAAAGCCAAGTGCAAATAGAGACTTTTCTAGTATTTTGCCCTAGTTTGGTCTTGAGGGGGTAATTTATATATTGCCGTAAGTACTATAAAAACCCAGGACTTAACAAATACCTTTTGATACACTGTAGTGTATCAGAAGGCACGAAACACATCTGAAATTTAAAATAAAAAAAAAAAACACAAAAAACAAAAAACACCACATTTACATAGTCTGTATCACTATTTCTAATCTTTTGTTAGAACTATCAGGAAACATTTATTGGGCAATAGTTGTCACCAGATAGTGTGTGGCATTTGCAGAAGTACAAAGAACAGTGCAAAACAGGAGCTGCATCTGCAGTCTGACTAGGTAAAAGGGTGGAAGGTGAGTGAATAGACAATTTCTAAGTAACACCATTTAGGTAGGTAAGAAGGTTGGGGGAAAAAAACAGAGCTGTGGGAAGAAAGGCAGAGAGGGAGTTCATTGGAGTGGATGACAGGAAGAGAAAGCAATGGAAGCAGTGTGTGTCCTTTGACTACTTCACTGGTTCCCAAGGAGCCCAGCGTGGTGCTGTGCTTAGAAGGAATGATGGGTAAATATTAGTGACTGATATTTGACGGAATTAGTCATTATTACTTTTTCATTTAAAATCATACTCATTATTTCTGTTGTCCAAAATTAGCATGGAAATTAGTGTAATTTAAGTGTTTTATATTTCCAATGATTTTACATCAGGTATAATAATGGTATATCAAAGGGTAAGTCTCTTTAGTTATCCTAACTTTAGAAACCCTTGAATGAGATTAGGAAGTGATCATCATTTACATTTATTATACTTTGCATTTAATGAGCTTTAGCTTTTAACTCTAATTTGCTTCTCATCGCATTCATCAAAGGCAAACTATTTAGAAACTAAAACATCTCTGTCAGTTAGAATTTTAATGAATTAAGATGAAATGAGACAGTGTTAATTGGCAGTTGCTGCAGGGGAAGTTTCTAGATCTTGTAAGTGATACCAATTCATCCCTCTCTCAGAGTTAATTTGTTTGGTTTAATTCTAAGAATACACTGACTATTTCCATACACTATTCATATTTATATTTTTTATTGAAGAGTAGTTTAGTTCTGTTGGTCTTTCATTTAGATTCTCAATTCCACTTGAATTTGATTTAATTTGATTGTTAATAAATTTAAGCAGCATTTGTATTGTTGACTCATGATTAATACACATAACTAATCATTTTTTTCACCAATCCTTTACTTCTTATGTTTTATTCTGTTTTCCTCAGACATAAATGAATGTGAAGCTGAGCCTTGCAAAAATGGTGGAATATGTACAGACCTTGTTGCAAACTATTCCTGTGAGTGCCCAGGTGAATTCATGGGAAGAAATTGTCAATACAGTAAGTATTAATATATATGTATATACAAAGTTTTATTTGCATAGCCTGCATTTCTTATAGGATCTGAGCTGACATCAATATAGTTTACTTCCAGAATTCATAATTTATTGAAGTGGCATATTTAATATTTGTTGTTTAAATGTTATGAAATTCCAGGATAAGTCTCAGTGCATGATGGGCACAAGAGTGGTCACCTTGTGGTCTGAAAGTAGGGCAACAGACCCTCAAACCCGAAGTGTATCTCTCATGAATACTATTTTGGCTTTTGAGTGTGTGTATGACCTAAATTTTCACCACCGTTATTACTTTGGTTTAGACAATACATTCAGCACACCGTGGCCAGATAGCCTCTATCACAAATAAAAGGTAGAGATAAAGGAAGATTCATTGGAGTTGGACAATATATTAGTAGGAATTTTACACACAGTTTTTCTTCTTGGAAGCCTAAGCCAGTCTTGAGATTATGGATCAAAGGTTAGAAGAATAATTTACCTGAAGTGTTAACAAAGAAGCACAAAGTACCCCTTTATTCCCCCAAACAAACAAACAAAATACTAGGAAAAGATAGTAACAGAGTTATAGTCTCATGGGAGGAGACCAGAATCGGGCACAAATATTTATTAATGAGAACAATAATGATACAGCTCAATAATTGTTGGAGATATATGATATATGCATACATACACACGCTTCATAGTGCTACTGCTTTGATGTGTATACTATTAGATATCACAATACTATAGATATTCAGACGGCAAATGCAGATTGGAATTCAGATGCAGAAACCGGCACAAAGTCTATGTGGTTTGCCCGGGCTCTCACAGTTAGTGACAGAAGCAGCACTAGAAAGAATCTAGAACTAGGTCTTGTGATCCCAAGTTCAGAATATTTTCTTCTAAATTGAGATATCTCTTCAAACAGAGTTGAACAAGATCAACACAAAAGCACACTACACCTCCTCTCTTATACACACCCCTCCACACACTCGTGTATATACTGCTGCTTTTTTAGCCATAGTAACAATTTTATTTCTCTCTTTCCTCCTCTTCCTCCCCTTTGACAATGGTAATTTATAAAATAAAAAAGGAAAATTATTTAAGAGTTTCATTGGGTTATGTATATAATCAAAATGATGATCTGGAGATGCTCATTACCCTAGTTCTAATTTTTTTTAAAAAAACCTGAATATTAAAGAAATACCTTTGATTGGGAAAAATTTTTCTAAGTTTAAAATTATTGGAGAGAGACATTGAGCATGAGTTGATGAAGATGCTGCAAGGACAGACAGATGGAAAGAAAGGCGCAGTCTGAGTAAACAGGTTGATCATAGACAAATATTCAACTATCCTAGTGACCTTCCTATTAAGCAGGTAACTAGCCAGCCATTAGGTGAATTTAATTTCAACTGGTCCTTGGCCTGCCCCAGGCACAGTCCTTGCACCCTTCTTTACTTTTATTCATGTGTCTTGAAGATGTCTGCCCAGACAGCACTGGAAGTTGTGCTAAAAAGCATCCCCCTAAGGCCGTGGTCAGCAAACTGCGGCTCGCGAGCCAAATGCGGCTCTTTGGCCCCTTGAGTGTGGCTCTTTCTAAGCCTTAGGAGTACCCTAATTAAGTTAGTAACAATGTACCTACCTATATAGTTTAAGTTTAAAAAACTTGGCTCTCAAAAGAAATTTCAATCGTTGTACTGTTGATATTTGGCTCTGTTGACTAATGAGTTTGCCGACCACTGCCCTAAGGGGTCTGAAAGGAACACTTTATTAATAGGATGAGGAACAAAAATAGATGATAGTCGACTACTTGACTTTCATGCAGCAAACACAGAGATCTGGTGGCAGAATGAAGGGCTTTCAGGTAGTACTGGAACTTTGACAGATCTTAAAACTCTGCCTGGATAAGAGAATGTCCAGGCTTGGCAAGGCCACCTCTGTCCCACAGGAGGCCTGGCAGGGGAGAAAGAAGAGGATGAGACCTTCGGAAGAAATGTTCAAGTGACATGTCATGAGAATCCTACCTAGGAAGTAGTTCCTCTCCCAGGTGGTCAAACCCTCGCTATTTGAGTGACCTTAAGAAGTAGTGTCTGAGGTTGTAGACAACCTCTAGTCCTGGGAAAGGAGACCTAAGACTTGGAGTTATTTATACGGCCTAGCCTCCCCGCCTTTCCCTTCATACTGACCAGGGAACAACTAGACACCAAGTTGCTTGCTTGCATGTTGAAAATGAAAGGAGACCTGGATGTGAACTAGACATTGAAACCAATAGCTAAAGCCTGTCCATCCTCCCATCAGAGACTTTTGCTGAGGTCACCACATCTGAAAATACCCTTAAAGAAGAAAGAACCTGCTTGATTCTGGAAGGATGTATTGAAATAGACTTTGATACGTGCCCCCAGTTTATGCCTAATGTATTTCAATCAGTTTTTGATATTGTGTTTAATGAAATTCCTTGATTTTCTTTGACTTGGTGTTGTATTCATATAATATTTATATTTAAATGTAGACTTCTCTTTGAACATGAATGTGATAGTGAGGTACTCCCCTTAACCCATCATATGCTCTGATATCCTCCCACATCCTCTGTCATCTCTGTGCCCCAATAATGACAACACTTATGGCATACCTGTAAGAATTATAATAAATTAGGATTCTTACACTCTTTGTATTGCCTGGGAGATGGCTCTGCCTTTTTCTGTGACTCCACAGAGTGTTAAAATTGCGGGTAAGAAAGTGCATTCTGCTACAGTGATGATTTAGTTCTACAAACTGAAAACTCAGGGCGTTCACTCATGACAGTGCACATAGAAACACCTGCAGGTTATAGGCAGTGCCAGCTCTGAGCTGACCGAGGGTAGGATCTTCAGAGTCGACATGACATAGATTATAACCAATGTGCCAGCTTCCACTCTTTAGTGAGATTGATAAACATTTTTCTTGGCTTTGTATCATGTCCCATAGGGACACCATTGGGTTGGCTTCTGCCTGCAATAATGGTACAGAAGCCATTTGTTCAGGCTGCTATTTCAGGAGGAAGAGGGAAGGGGGAAAGATAGAGACTAACTACTGGGTGGGTCAGAGCATGCCCATACAGAAATGCTGTTATCATTGTGTTCAAATCCAAACTGCCTTTAGTCTATCCATGGGCTCTAACCGTGGGCTCCTGCACTCATATTTGCTTTACTGGACCTACTTCTTTCTTATTTCTACTGATGGATTAATTAAGTTCTGGTATATTTAAAGGTGAAATCATTCTCAGCACCCCCCCCCCCAAATTGTAAATAATGGCAGGTATCAAATTATAAATAATGGCAGGTATTGCAAAGAATACAATTGACTTAAACGCTGAAATATCTGTATAAAATAGTAAACCAAAAAAAAAAAAACCCAGAAATATTTACAATATCCATGGAAAGGCAAATAATACTTATCCTTAATTTATTATTTCTCTCAGTTCAATGGAATTGAATACAACAGAAAAAAAACAAGAATGTGAATAGAACCTTCTCACAAAAAAGTAGTTTAATATTTATATTGTAGTTGTGCCTTTATTATTGGTTTTCTAAATATTCTGATTTTTTTTAAAAAAAATAGACTTTAGTACTGTTATGAACTGGAAAGAAGAATAGGATTTTAAATGTCTGTTTAATGAGAGCCCTCGATAGGCGAAGAAAACACTGGGCTGACCATGCATCTCTCTGCTTCTACCTCTCACCATGTCTCTCTACCCCCTTTCCTTACACAAGTGGGAACTGGAAGATGAACGGCAGAAACACATGGCAACATCGATCAACACAAAAGGATGAAGTTCTAAAGAGGAGCAGAGGCCAGCTGGCAAACTTTAGACAGAATATGAAAAAGACAAAGGAGAGAGGAGGGAGCGGAATGGGAGCTGTTAAACCAGGGCTCTGTGCTAGCTAACAACGAGGATCCCTGCAAGTTCCACACACACACACACACACACACACCACGCATGCACACGCACACTCACTCCATAAGGAATTTGTCTAATGGGTAGAACATTGTAAGGCAAAGGAGGGGACAAACAGTTTTCTACAAGCATAAAAGCTAACATGAGGCAATATTACTTAAGTGACGTCTAGGCTTCAAGTCTAGGCAGAAGGCCCTCTGCCTGTGTTCCCTCCACAGTCTGTCCCTAACTCCTCTCAGAGGGAACCTGTGAACCAGTCAGAGGGCGTCACCTCTCAGCTCAGAATCTTCTACTGGCTCCTGACCTCAGACTGTGAAAATTACAGTCCCGTTCCAAGGCCGGGAGGACCGGCCTGGACTTCCATCTTCTCACTCACCTCTCTGACCCGTCTCCTAGGACTCTGACTTTCTCATGCACTGCTCCTGCCGCTGGCAGGTGCAGGCACTCACCTGGCACATTCTTGCCAGAGCATTTCCTTTTCTATTCCTTTTTTCTAGAGTATTTGCTATGAATACTCCCGCACTTCCTCCCGTTCTTGCATAACAGACACCTCTTCAATGAGGCTTTCCCTGACCTCTCCACTCCCTTACCACAACACCCCAAATCACACACTCACCCCCTTCTCTGCTGTAGTTTTTCTCTTTCGCATTAATCACTAACATATATTTTTACTTTTAAATATTGTTTGTTGCCTAATTCTCCAGTGGAGTACGTGCTCTATGAGGGGAAGATTTTTGCTGTTCTAATCACAACTGCCTAGATAGAACTGGCAAATAATAAGTGCTCAACAGATATTTGCTTAATGAATGAATGAACCTAGCACTCCGAGTTCATTACGCACAGGGGAGGTATCTGACTTTTCAGTGCCTTCAACCACTATCAAGTTCTTTTTTTTGCCCGACTTTCTATTTTTAAGTATTATTATAAAGCTGCTTTTGCCAGTATAATAATATGTAATCTGGTATATTAGTTGGTACTCACCAAATAATATTGCAAGTTGAATTGTTTCCCTTTGACTTGATAGGACCTTTTATAATTCTATTTTTGCAATGGGATTATGCAGATGGATTTAT